CATCTAGGAAGTGTAAACATTGTTGGCTTTGGAACTGTGGAAGAGAGACTCTTGGAATGAAGGGCAGACACCAGAACGCTTTACAATATTTTATGATTGTGAAAGATTTGTTTAGTTCCATCTCTTAGGTGAAAAAGTCATTAATACCAGAAGTGGGAGGAGGGTTATTAGTGATTCGTTTTTTTCTTTTTCTTTTTCTTTTTTTTTGAGACGAAGTCTTGCTCTTGTGGCCCATGCTGGAGGACAATGGTTGGTGCAATCTCAGCTCACTGCAAACTCTGCCTCCTGGGTTCCAGCCATTCTCCTGCCTCAGCCTCCTGAGTAGCTGGGATTACAGGCACCTGCCACCATGCCTGGCTAAATTTTTTTGTATTTTTAGTAGAGATGGGGTTTCACCATGTTGGCCAGACTGGTCTCAAACTCCTGACCTCATGATCTGCCTGCCTTGGCCTCCCAAAGCGCTGGGATTACAGGCGTGAACCACTGCACCTGGCCGAGATTCATTTTTTTCTATTATGCTTTGCTGTATTTTCTGCAATGAGCTGTATTTCTTTAAAAATCAGTTAAAAATCTAAAGAATGTAAAATATTTTTTAAAACTCGTGTTTTTGCCTACAAATTACTTTCACTAGTACATCCACATTTCCATTCAATTTATCATTGCAACTCTTCTGAAACTGCTGCTTACAATAATTGAAATGGGAAAATCACAAAAATTACAAGAATGACTCTGGATGCAGCTTTATTCAGGCTAATCAATGTTCTCTGTCCACACAACCGTAGAGAGCTCGAAGGATTAGATGTTCCAATCACACTAGGGTGCAGAGGGATCGTTGTGCTTGGTTAGATTGAAAGAGACAGTTGGAATTGTCCTTGGAACTGTGCTGTTCCTGTGTGGAGATACAGTCTTGGAAATAGTTGCCTTTTTGTGCCACTCCACACATCCTTCAGCTAAAACACCACAAATACTATCCTGACTGTGCAATCTTATCTTTTTCATTTAATTGTGGAGGGATAGGGAAAAGGAGAATTTGTCCTCCTAGGACCTTGCTAGTGGTGAATGGATGAATGGATGGGGACCCCGGGATCTTGTATCCAGCTAAACTTCAAGAAGACATGCATAAGAAAGAAAAAGATTATTTAAAATATATTTTGGCTGGGCTCAGTGACTCATGGCTGTAATCTCAGCACTTTGGGAGGCTGAGGTGAGGGGATCACTTGAGGCCTGGAGTTCGAGACCAGCCTGACCAACATGGAGAAACTCTGTCTCTACTAAAAATACAAAATTAGCTGGGTGTAGTGGTGCATACCTGTAATCCCAGCCACTCTGGAGGCTGAGGCAGGAGAATTGCTTGAACCCAGGAGGTGGAGGTTGTGGTGAGTTGAGATTGCACCATTTCATTCCAGCCTGGGCAACAAGAGTGAAACCCCATCTCAAAAAAAAAAAAAAAAATATATATATATATATACACACACATTTTTTGAATATATATACATTTTTGAATGTTTATATATACATTTTTAAAACATATGTATTAAATGAATATATGTATTCAAAAATATAGTTAAACATCCTTTCCCTTCTTATCCACGCCTCATGGAAGTCTGTGTTCATGCAGCATCCTGGGGTTTCTATTCCTTCATCAATGTGTACACATTTAGATGAATGAATAGAAAGGCTATCTCAGTGTCTTTCAGATCACATATATGAGCAGTTTTGCAAGTTTTCTACTATCTTCAGTACCCATATTTTCTATTTTTGTTACTATAAACATACACCTCTTATGTCAGTATTGGTGTCTAGAAGAGGGTAGAAATATTTTGCTATCAAAGAAACTTGGTAGGCCTGGCTTTACTTTTGTGAGCTATATCATAAAGGGTCCAGTTACTAAACCAGAGCCACTTAGCCTGCTCTTTCATCTGGGTGCAGTGACTCCTGCCAGTCCTTTCCTGCCCCTGCTGTTTTGGATTACATGAGGGCAGAGGAGGGGTGTTTCATAAGACACAGGGCATGCAGCTGTCTCAGAGTCATTGGCTCAGACTGATTCTCTTTTTGTAGATATTTACACTTTATGGGAAAGCTCTTATTATGTCAATGGCTGGAGTTTCAAGTCTTCATCAAGATGCCTTTTTTGGGAGGGAAGTTTCCTGTCCTTTCTTGGGCAGCTAGAATCCTTGCCAGTGCGTTCCCCACCCCATACCTGCTTTGTCTCCCTACAGGCTGTCTGAGACATGCCACCTGTCTTTGGTGGAATGCATGTTTGTTTCCATTTACAGGTCCTTGAAAGTAAAGCATGTATGATGGAAACTGTTGGAGTTTGCACAAAGACTGGCACATGTCTCTGTTTGGTTCTGGGTTTTGCATATTTGGAGTCTCGCATATTGCAATAAATACACCACTTTGATAAGCTGCCTGGGTCACTCAAGGGCTAGAACAGATGATCTCTTGTAATCAAGATGGTTTAAGCGAGTCCAGCCATCTGTTTCAGCTTGGCACTCTCAGGGTAGCTATGTTGGCCGTGTCACCAAATTCCAAACCCTTAGCTTTGCAAGGTCAGCTACTCAGTATCATCATATTCCAGAGCATATCAGGCTTTGGGGGTCTGAGTCTCAATAATCAAACTCACAAGAGGCTGAGGGATAAATGTATCTCATAGTGTCCTTGTGAGGATTAAATGAGTAAGTGGATGTAAAACTTAGCTCTGGCCAGGCACATATAGTAAGTGTCTTGTAAATGTTGACTTTTATTTATGCTGTGACCTATCAAACATGGTAGATGCAGCACAGGATAAACACCAACAAATATTTACTCTTGGTGGCTTCCTCCCCTAGGTTCTAGAATCCATACACAGCACCATCTTTGTATCAGCCAGTCACAATGTGATAAATAGGTCACTTCAAAAAAACATTTTCCAGTCCTAAGGACAAAACTGGCCCACATTCTTGTGGCGTCTCTCTGGGATCATTTTTTTTTAGCGACGGGGTCTTGCTATGTTGCCCAGGCTGGAGTGCAGTAGCTATTCACAGGCGAGATCCCACTACTGATCAGCACGGGAGTTTTGACCTGCTCCATTTCTGACCTGGGCCGGTTCACCACTCCTTAGGCAACCTGGTGGTCCCCCACTCCCGGGAGGCCACCATATTGATGCTGAACTTACTGCGGACACCCGATCGGCATAGCACACTGCAGCCCAGAACTCCTGGACTCAAGAGATCCTCCCACCTCAGCCTCCCTCAACCTCAGTTCTCCTACCTCAGACTCCTGAGTAGCTGGGACTACAGGCAAGCGCCACCGCGCCCAGCGTCTCTGGGCTCTTGATCAGCTCAAGAGGCCCTCTTGTTTCCTGATTTTATTTGGCAGAGAGGCTGGACCATGTTAACAACTACTGTATGTTCAAAGTGCTTAGCTTCTGCAGATGGCTGGTCCTAGCCATTTTATGTTGATTTCTTGTTAATGTCAACTGTGATTGATATTGACCATAGATGCGAGTTTCTCCATGAGCTACATCAGCCAGCTGCCAAGGCACAATGCCTACCAATGAACGCTCACCGCCTGGACTGCAGGAAGAGGCATGGTGCTGGGCTTGTCATGTGGGTCCAAAGAATTCGGTGGAATTTGCTCTAGTGCTAATACTTAGCACAAAGCTATGCCTGTGGCCTGGAGGAATGCTCCACTCCCAATTTTTGTTGTGCATTGAATGGCAACACCCCCTCCCATCCCTGCCTGTTGAGATAACTAACCAAACTCTTGGGAGACAGAGAACGGGGCCCTAATAAGCTGAGATATTAGGTTGGTTACATTTCAGCAAGAATAGGGACTGAGGAAAAGGTCTGGAGCACAAAATGATCAGTCTTCAAGGAGTAGAGCGAGTCTATCCTCCTCTCCTGGGCTGCATGGCAGTCTCATCTAGTGGTCTGCAGCAACATGATAGAGGGATGGGCCATTACTCTCCAATATGATCTCAAGAGTCATGCAAGACATATCAGTTGGTTTGGATTCTAACTTAAAAAGGAAAGCACAGGCCAGGACTGGTGGCTCACACCTGGAATCCCAGAACTTTGGGAGGCCAAGGCGGGTGGATCACAAGGTCAAGAGATTGAGACCATCCTGGCTAACATGGTGAATCCCCGTCTCTACTAAAAATATAAAAGGTAGCGGGTCATTGTGGCACGTGCCCATAGTCCCAGCTACTCAGGAGGCTGAGGTAGGAGAACTACTTGAACCTGGGAGGCAGAGGTTGCAGTAAGCTGAGATCACGCCACTGTACTCCAGCCTGGCAACAGAGCGAGACTCTGTCTCAAAAAAAAAGGAAAAATCTTTTCAGATTTGAGCCAGAAAGTCAATCAACTGTACAAACAGGTAAGTCTTCTCTCAGTCTTAATATAATCAATGTATCTGAGGAGGGGGTTGGGAGGGGTGTAAGAAATCACCAAAGGTGCTCTATTTTTCCTTGTCATAAGATCCACAGAGGCTAACTGGGTGCTTGTCCCAGGGAGCAAGGTCAAATCATCAGTCGGAATGTGCCAGAGCAGGCCAGGGCACTCCTGTAATCACAGAACTTTGGGAGGCTGAGACAGGTGGATCACCTGAGGTCAGGAGTTTGAAACCAGCCTGGCCAACATGGCGAAACCCCATCTCTACTAAAATTACAAAAATTAGCCAGGTGTGGTCGTGTGTGTCTGTAATCCCAGCTACTCAGGAGACTGAGGCAGGAGAATCGCTTGAATCTTGTAGGCAGAAGTTACAGCGAGACGAGATCGCACTACTGCACTCCAGCCTGGGTAACAAAGAGAGACTTGGTCTCAAACAAAACAAAACAGAACAAAACACACGCACACACACACACACACACACACACACACACATAAAAATTAGCCAGGTGTGATATCATGCGCCTGTAGTCCTACCTATTCAGGAGGCTGAGGTGGGATGATCCCTTGAGCCTGGGAGGCAGAGGTTTCAGTGAACTGAGTCAGGCCACTGCACTCCAGTCTGGATGACAGAGGAAGACACTGTCTCAAATGTGCCAGAGCAGCTGCTCCTGCCTCCTATAGCTGTAAGACTCTCGGGGCATCTGTGGCCACTCTCACTTTTCCTAGTCCAAGGGGACCCTCTCTGCATCTTCTCTCCAGCATCTGAGTTGTGTCGCTGGAGCCAAGGCTAGTCTGCTCCTCTGCTTGCCCCTATACTGGCTGTGGAATAACATTATTCTCTGGCTGTGTACATGGGAGTTCCTGCTGGCCGCAGCAATAGGAGTGCCCCGCCAGCAAGGACAACGAAGAAGGGCCAGGCTGCTTTTGGAAAGCAGGTAGGGTTGCCTGGCAGGGTTCTAAGCACCAAGAACCCTGTGACCCACATTGTCACACTCCCATTTCCTCCCTAAGGTAGTGTAAAAAAGGAGTTCTTCGAAGTGCAGCCCTTGCTATCTTCATCCATAGGCAAGTCTCCTCTGCATTTATTAAATAGCCATGTGGCAGTTTTTAAGCTGTTGGCTCTCAGCAGAATCCCCCCACTCTATCCTCCACCCTGATGCCGAGACAGGGGTCTGTACCCTCTATTTCTCTGTCACCAGCAGAAGCCCTGGTGGCTTTGCCTATAAAGGATGCTAGAGGGACACTGATGGGCTGAAGCGGGGAAGGATTTGCCTTTTCCCATGTTTCTTGCTCCTGCTGTCACTGTCACCACAGCAACACTAATTCACCTTGGCAGCAACCAGAAGTGGATTCCAGTAGACAGAAGTTCCGGTTTCCAGTTTCTCCCACACTGGCCAACCTCAGAGGCACCAGCCCCAGTCCAGCGCCTCCTTCAGCTCCAGATCCTACTAACCCAGCCTCCTCCTCTGTTCCACCAGCCCCAGGGCGGGTAGCCGCCTCCTGCAGTTATTCTCCTTTCTGCATGTTCTCACCTCACCTTTTCAGCACTCCAGAACCCGTTTCCCTGATTGCTATTGCATATGTATTTTATATGTATATTGTATATCTCTGTTAAAATTACATAAAACAGCATGGCTTCTCTCTTTTTTTGAGACAGAGTTTCATTCTTGTCGCCCATGCCGGACAAGATTGTGCAATGGCACAATCTCCCTCACTGCAACCTCCACCTCCTGGGTTCAAATGATTCTCCTGCCTCAGCCTCCCGAGTAGCTGGGATTACAGGCGCCTAGCACTATGCCCGGCTAATTTTTGTATTTTTAGTAGAGATGGGGTCTCACCATGTTGGCCAGGCTGGTCTCGAACTCCTAACTTCAGATGATCTACCCGCCTTGGCCTCCCAAAGTGCTGGGATTACAGGCGTGAGCCACCACACCTGGCCACTTCTTTTTTCTTGACAGCACTCTGCCTGACACAGGTGGCTCTTTTAAAATCCAACCCACTGACCTTCATGCAGGACAGACCTGGGTTAGGCTCTGTGCTAGATGCTGTGGTTACTAAATAAAACGTGGTCTCCACCTTTGAGGAGATCTGTGCGGAGTTACAGTAACAAACATCTGTATGGAACTCTAGTTTGCAAATCTCTCTTTACATAAAGGTTCACTTGATTCTTACATCGACATTATAATATATTATTTCCACTTACAAATTAGGGAATTGCAACTAAGAGATGCCAAGTAACTTTTGCAAAGTCACACAACAAGTAAAAAGAGAAGTCCCTGACCTTGATGCCGCACTTTCCCGACTCCAAAAGCAATCAGTAGTTAGGTTAATTGGAATCTGATGTCTTTATAATTTCTCACTTTGAATTATTCTTTGCTGTTTAAAGTGAAAGACACTTTGAGGTACTTGTGAAAGTAAGGGAGAAGGGGAAAGAAGATAATTTGCAAGTGATCAAAAGATAGTCCCAATAGTGAAGACTGTCTTCCTTTTCATTTTTCAGCTTGTGATCTTGGGCACCTCAGGTCCAGGCCTCAAAGGACAAGAGCATCTGCACCCTACTCTCTCACTGCCCGTGTCTCCCACTGGATTAGGAGCTGGGGGTGATGGGTGGGTATAAAACTCTGCTCTCATAATCTCACAGGGGGCAGGAAGGAGGGGGGTGCTTCGGACAAGGAGTGGGCACTAACTAGACATCTTCTCCTCCCTCTCCTCCCTCTCCTCCCTCTCCTCCCTCTCCTCCCTC